TGGTGTCAAGTGATGGTTATTCATGATTTCAACGAATCTGTGATATTGTAATTTATGCTGTTTATTTTTCTCTGCTCCCTTTCCTCCTTTCTCATTTATTTGTTTATTGAATACACGGAAGCACAGAAGGACAATGAACAAGAACACCCCACTCTAAGAGCACACAGTTAATGCCAGATCTGAAGGTAGAATTCAGAGTCTGATTCTGAGGTGTACTTGTATCAATAGAGTTCAGAGAGTTGCCCAACACCAGTATTTTTTTGAGACAGGGTTTCTCTGTGTATCTTTGGAGCCTATCCTTGCACTCGCTCTGGAGACTAGGCTGGCCTTGAACTCACAGAGACCCCCCTGCCTCTGCCTCCCAAGTGCAGGGATTAAAGGCGTGTGCCACCAATGCCTGGCCCAACACCAGTTTTACTACAGAAAAAAAATTAAAAATGTACATTTCTAGGTCTCATCTCTAGAAATTATAAATTCTGTAGGTTGGGAATGGGACCAAAGAATCAGAGTCATGATTGCTAAACTTCTTCAACTTCTCAGATCATTTCTGAGTAACCAAGTGTGGGAAATGACCTTAGCTGGAGACATAGGTGATATGTGCTTGGGACCAAGGGTTCACATTCTGGCTCCCATTTCTCCCACCTCATGCACAGTCAGTACAGTGGAGCCCCTCATCAGCCCCACTCAGCACTGCCATCATCCAGCTGATTAATATAGTTTGTGCAAATGTCCAGGGGTTTGGGGTAGGAGAGGACCTAGTGGCAGCATTTGCTAGCATAGGAATGCAGCAGACCTGTCAGAAACACTTTCCAGATTCTGCATTCTCTAAGGGATAATTTTTCTACTGGTCTTTTGAGATCACTGAATTAAATACCTATACCAGAACTTCCATCTCCAAGGTGTTAATGCTAGAAGTCACCCTCAGCTTCCTAACATGACAAGCATTTAATAATAGCTACTTTAATGAAGTTCCCCATGACTTGGTTATTAGAACAAGCAGTCAAATAATGATAAGAAAGGAAAACCAATCAAGTAAAAAAAAAAAAAAAAACAGATGAAAGATTTAGCAAGCAAAATATTTTGGGGGACATACACTAAGACATTCACTTTTTATCTGAAATTTGTATTTAATGCCTTCTTTTTAAATCTAAAAACCAAAATGGGAGGCTCCCTTTTCCCCCTTAGTTTTGTTTAATCATTCCACAGTGGTGAAAAAACTTACTGTCTAGAAATATTGATTCCATACCATCGTTCCTTAAATAGATTGAAATTATCACTTAGTTCTCTAAAATTATATTGATGAGATAAACAGGCAGCATTCAGACAAAGATGTCTTATTGGTATTGAGAGATTCAGGTATGGGATAAGGAGAGGATCTGAGGAAAAGCTGCCTGGGACAGAAGGCTTTTCATAGAACAAATACACATGTTCTGAAGCTGAAGCCAAATAGCAAAAAGTAAATGAAATTCTTGGGAGAGTGAAGAGCTTAATGTAGACTATAGTTCAATATCTGTTCTCTAGAATTTAGAAAGGTTTGCATCTACATGGGCCATAGATTCTTATCCAGGGTATGGGTTCAATAGCTAATAGTTTCTCTGTGTGTTTTCCAGCCCCAGCAGTCAGTAATTTAGTGTACTTAAATATGGATATCTCTGACACTTTTGCATTGAATATCAGAACAAATAGGTAGTAGTGTAGTTATATAACTTGCTAACATGTCATTTAGTGTGCCTGAGGACTGTAGCAGAGCTAAGGACCATTGATAAGAAGGTCCTGGTTTATTTTTTTAGTATCTCTCCCCGTTGGTGCTGAGGTACCAATTGTCACTCAGAGAGAAAGGTGTCTTGGCTTAATCACTTGTTGCCATATAAGCCATATGGAAAATGTGAACTTGACATTTTTTCCTTATTTCAGTTATTTTTTCCAAAGAAAAATTAAAACCCACAATGTGGGGGAAAAGTCACAATAGCCCTTGATTATTAAAATATGGATAGGAACTAGATGTGTTGAAGGAAACAAGGTAATACACTTGAGATTGGTAACTCTTACCATTCCTTTTATAAACTGTCAATCAATACAAATGCAAGGACCACTGTAGACCAGACACAGTTCTAAATACTGTTTTAGGAATAACATAGGGCTTACAACTACATGGTGAGGGATGCAGTGATTATGTCTGGTATAGCAAAGAGGGAACTGGAAGAGAGATCCTGCAGTTTGCTTATGGTCACCCAGGAAGCATGAGGTACCCTGTTAAACTACTTCTAATGAAATCCTGATTTCTTGGCTTCATTTGAGTTTGCTCAATACTACATTTCTAGGGAAGACTTAATCAGGTTTTTTTTTTTTCTTTTTTTTTTTTTTTTTGAGAAAACATGGCATTCAATCCCATTTCAAATTAGGAAGAATCTTTGGCTCAATTCCTTTAGTCTCTAAAAGTCCCTCAGCGCCCTTTCTTGGATAATTAGTTGAGAACAATATCAATTATATCTAAGTGGGCAAATTGAATTACTACAGATGAGCAATTGATTTTTTTAATTATCATTGATTGCTCAGTGGTTATCTCAGTGTAAAGATTTGTACGTTCTGAATCTTTAATTTAATTGCTTTATTAAGGAGTGCAAAGGCTGGCACCACAGTGACAGTGAAGTTCCCTCTGCCCCTTTCCTCCTCACTGATATGGCAAAAGCCTAAGACAGTCACCAAAAAAGCCAACAGTAATGAAACAACATGAAATCATATGTACATTTAATTCTTTATCATTTTAGGGGATTTGTGGGATTCACAATATTCTTGGGAAGGAGTTGGGCTTGCCACAGTGACTCTCTTATCAAATATTGATGGTTTTAATCCTTAAGTCAAATTTACAGTAAATTCAATTGAAAAATAGTCATCAGAAACTGATGTGAATTTGAAAGGTCAAAAGCAGGACTCTCCTCTTTCAATCTGACTCTTATGTGTTCTAATAGTACTAACTAAATGTGTGGTTCTCCCTCTCCTTAACCACCTTCCCTTCTTCCCTCATATCCCTCTGCTCTTCCCCTTCCACCTCCCCTCCCTCTGTTCCTCTCTCCCTGTTTTTCTCCCCCTGCCCCTCTCATATTTTAGATAGACTCTCATTAAGTTCCCCATTATGCTTTTAAACTTGTTCTTACCTGACTCATGGGCTTATGAGAAATAGAAAATAGTCATTTGAAACTGATAAGTTACTAAGTAGCTCTTTCTGAAAAAATGGATTACTGATAGTGGTGGGAGGGAGAGAGAACTGGGATTCATATGTAAAATAAGGTTGTTTCTAATTTAAATACAATTTATAAAATAAAAGTCAAAGTAAGTGAAAGATTGAGGGTATAAATAGAAAACCCAGGTTTTCCATCCCATCCTGCAAAATAATGGGTAAGTTGTGGCTTTGTACGGTGTTTTAGCTGGAATGAACTCACTTGGATGATAACATTAATTTCTGTGACACTATCGCTCATGATTTTGTTTGGACTTTGGCATTTGACTGTATGATGAGAAACATCTGTATGATTTTTCCTCAACAATACCAAATATACATCTGTGTGGGAGAATGGTCTGATTTTGGCATGTAGTTGGCATGTTTATATATGCGCTATAATCAGATGGGCTACACCATCTGGGTAATTCCAGAGGTTTGGTTGTACAGTGTGTATTTATGGTTAGGATGTAGAGATAAGCTATCTGAATTTCACATATTCACTTGGCAATACCCCTAGATTCCAACATCCCTTTTCTATGTTGGATCAAGTTCAGGAACAATTTAAATATATTTTCACAACATTTCCTAAATGACTGTATTGTAATTCAATGTTATATTTGGCAAACTTCACCTAGAACACAGTAGCTAATGGTGCAAACTGATTTTATTTGCATACCATTGTTAACCACTTTTATGTAGTACTTACCCAACGTGTCAGATTATTATGATCTATTTAATGACTTAATGGATGAGATACATTGTTCTTAAATTCAATTATACCCTTTGCACCTCTGGAATCAAGGTCATGTCAGCATTTCTATTATGTGAGTGTCTGGGCTTAACAGTTTTAAACTAAGCCATAAAAGATGGTTTCCAAATCAAATTGTAGTAATAAAGGTCAGTGCTTGAGGGGCCCAAATTTAATATACATAATATGTAAATATATATTATATATAATATATATAATTTTTGTGCATCCCCTGCTTCCTAAAATATCTTTTAGGAAAAGCATCCCTTTTAGTCCATGCACAGCAGATGGAAAGGCTTTCATTTCCCATTTACTTTATAATGCTGGGCTTTCCTGCCTTGTTGAATGGCAGCTATTTCTCAGACCATCTGGCTCTTAATCTATACTCCAGTATTTACTGATTGCATCACCTCAGGCTGTTACTTAGCAACTTTATATCTCACCTATTAAATGGGCTGTTAACAGTACCTACTTCTTAGAGTTGTAGTGAGTATTAATTAAGATGCGATGACTATGTGTATGGGATCCTATGTATGATTGCAGATTTCCAGAAAAACATCTGGAAATCCTAGGTTACTGAGGTGAGACTTCGCATTCACAGATAGGTATGAAAGAGGCTATAACAAGGAGACAATCAAATCTTTAGAAATTAAAATTTTATTACTTATGAAACACTGTGATGTCTATTGATTTTCTTGGTAAGAAACAGAGTTTTCAGAAGCAGTTGTTTTGGTTAATTTTTAAGCCCTAGTTAAAATGGTATTGTTGGTGAAACACTAGACAGCTCTCATCAGCTGATTATTAATCGTGAGAATATAGATACACTTCCTCACTCCAGGTGGGGGGATAGAGCCACTTCTTTACTGTTTTTTAAGTTAATTGACAGGTTCGATTTTGTACTGTGCTCAATTTGTTCTTAAAAATGCACACTGATAAAGCCCCTTTCAGAAGTTGGAGAATGGCTGATTCACTGATTGGTGAACGTGTTTTCCCATGTACTCATAGAAGAATCACCTCCCTTGGCTGTTACAGATCTACATGCTTCTGCAGGTGACAGATGGCTGTGGGAGGGATCCCACATTGAAGCATGACAAGTGTGACATACATGACTGCACAGATGCTTCAGATTCCTCCCAAAGTGAGTACATGTGTCGGATGTCACAGCCCTTTGAATTTTCAGTAATAAATATATATATTAGAAATTTTCATGTCAACACATACTGTCAAACCTTGTAAATTATAATTCTTAACTCAATTACTTGAGTTTCACCTCAATTAAAATTCTTTGGTTCAATTCAGGTTGATTTTCCTCATGTTTTCCATTCTCTGACATAATATGATGACACTCACACAACTACAATCTGCTGTGTTTACCCCTCCATTTTACAAATAAAATCCTAGATTTAGAAAGTCCTGCAGAACTCAGCTTTACGAGTGAGTTTTGACTGCATAAGTGCCTCTGTTCACATGAATTCTTTTTGCTGGAGAGAAAATAATCTGCAACCTTCACTGGGCAAACATAGGAAGCAGAGACTATGCAAACACAGCAAAGGGAAAAGAAACTAGTGATATGGAGAAGAATGAAGCCTTGAAAACTGAAGAACCATCTAAGTATGGTTATAATTCATCTGATATATACATTTATATATATTGAGATTTTATTTTATTTTTGCTAATACCTATAAGTCTGTGTGTGGGCATGTGCACATGCGAGTTTAGATGCCCACAGAGTTCAGAATAGAGCATTGGATCCCTATAGTTGGAGTTACTGGCAGCTGTGGGACACATGATGTGTGTGCTGAGAACCAAACTCAGGTCCTGTGCAAGAGTAGTATGTATTCTCAGATCACCAGGCATTTCTCCAGCCTGGGATTCAAATGTATTTTTAAAATGATCTACAGTATCTACTAGCAAAGAATAAGCAAAGTGGATGTCATTAAGAGTTATGTATAATAGATTGTTTCCTTATTGCTATTTCATAAATTTCATTTAGCTATATTAACTGAAAAAATGGCCAGCACAAGGAATCATATTTTTTTTTAAATTGGACTGAAGTTATAATTCAGCTGGAAAGAAAAATGTAGCAGTTAGACAATGGAATTAGGTTAGTGTGTCTAATCAAAGCGATATAGAAAAAAACTATCCAGGACACCACTGGATAGTGTCCTAAAGACAGGCTTTCCTGGCAATTGAGCTTCTTGGCACTACTAGTTCATTGGCATATTAATGAATGGCCTTAATAACTAACCTTAATATTTATTGGCCAAGTGTGAATCACTGTCAGCCCTCTCAGGAACAGGTATGGAATAAGATTAATAATTTTGTCAAAAAAGGAGAATGTAGACTTTATAGAGGGGTGATGACTTACTGGACTCTGAAAATGTCTTTAGTGTTATGGTAAGAGCATTTGATGTTGTGTGGGTCCAGATTATTATCTGAAGGAAAAGATAATTACAATGCAAGAGTCAGAGTCAGCTCAGTTGATTCTCTGTGGTGGCCCAGGTTACAGATACATATTTCCAATATTGTACATTTTCCATTGCATTTTATTAATTTGCATATGTGTTAGTTTCCATGTTTGTTAGCGCAGTGGGAGTTTCTGTGTCTTATTTTTTTTTATAACCTTGACTATGGAGCTGTGTATAACAGTGCACAGTGCATACATGTTCATAGTCAATATATAAGATGACATAATCATGATGCAATAATGCTTCTAATTCCGGAGATGAATGAGCTGAGAGGAAAAACAAATGCCACAGGCCTGATTTCTGTTTCTCAAAAACACTTTTTGACAGATCAAATTATTTGAGTAGCATCCAAAGACAAACCCTAAGAAATCTTGAAGTTGGAAACATCATCTATTGCAACTCCGGATGGTATTTAATAGAGAAGCAAGAGACAGTAACTATTTTAAAATTAAGAAATTAGAGCTGGAGAGATGGCAAAGTGGCTGCTCTTCTGGTGGACTGGAGTTCAATTTCCAGCACCCACATGGCAGATCGCAACCTGTTACTCACGTTCCAATGGATCTCACTCAATATGTATATATATATATATATATATATGTATATATATAATATTTGTATATATTTGTATATTTGTATATACAAATAATATATATATTTGTATATTTGTATATACAAATAATATATATATATTTGTATATTATATATATATAAAATAAAAGTAAATTAAAAAATTAGGTTACATGTATGTGCATGCTTATGTATATGCATGTTTATGTGTTTGTGTGTGTGTGTGTGAAAAGCTTAGAACATCCACAGAAAAAGTTAATAGCAATCTGTAGGTAAAAGGATTATCAATGATTTTTAATATCTTTGCAATTTCTTATGTTTAATAATTTTTACAATGACTATATTTTATTTATATAACCAGGAACAAATGTAATTAAATAAAAACTAAAACACAGACCATCTCACAGCAAACCCAGCAATGCACTCTGAAGTATTCCAGTTATAAACACTTAAGTAATTGGAAATTGCGGGGGGGGGGAGGATCATAAAAATTAGTCACCAGGGGCTTCACTTTGAATAAAAAGCCCAAGGAGTTTGTTTCAAATTGTGTCAACTTTCATGTTACTTATATAATTAAAGCAAGTAAATCAGGTGGGCAGCATGCCAGTCAGCCTTCACACACACGTCACAACTGTCTGCATGCTCACTACCTTCACCTTGCTCAATTTTTACAGTTAATATGAATATCAATTCTCTTTTTCATAAGCCTAACCTATAAATGCCACAGCCCCTTGGAGGGATTTCCCCAAGCTTCATTTTAAGCTCCACAAGAAAGGATGTAAAGGAGACTTTTCTTTTGTAAAGTGTTTCTATAATTCTGTCCAATATCCATCATTTTCAAGGCCAAGTAATCATATTTAATAGATCCTAAATTACATTCTGTCAGGCAAGGATTCCCTTGATGATATTAACCAGTATGGAGGGCTGACAGTCTGAGGCCTGAAAGTATGACATTGTTCTATGGAGGGCGGACACACTTTCCTTTGCAGGAGCTGACCCTTCAAATCCTGCAGTAGTGCAGGACCTCAGCCTTCATCCATCCTTAGCCTTCCCGGAATTACCCATAAACTCCCCGCACCCCCCATTTCCTGATTTCCTGTCCTAAAAAATCACTTTTAAAATTTAATTACTTGGCACAGTTTTGACCCTCTTCTTTGAGGAAATTACCATCATGAATTTATTTTTGCAATCTTATTCCTGCAAGACAGCTTTAGGTGTAAAGACAGCTTTAGACTCTACCGATGTGGTGTCCATGGTGAAGAACTGGAAAGACAAAAGGCTGAATAATGGGGGAAGCTAGAGAGATGCCCTCATTGCTTGTGCAGTGTTATACTAATGCCACAAAGTCCACATCTGAGGATATTTTTCTTGATAAGAAAGAGGGTAAGGCTACAATGTCAGAAACTAAGTGATTCACAATAAACACAGGAGAAGAAAGAATTGTGAACCAGAATTCCACTAGGGGAAAGTTCTCAAGTTGGGGCATCTTTATGGGGATAATGATTATTTGGAGATTTGTATATCTCAAAGGCATTAGGGAATAAAGATGAGAAGAAATTAAAACCCCACTCTCTGCACCAATTAGTCAAGTTTTTTGAGATTCAGTGATCAAAAAGCTCAAGCACAGATCCTTCTGTTGGATCCCATCTTCTTTTAGAATCTACATATAGTGATCTAGCTGTGTGGCCAGCCCTTGGTGCTCATAAGCCCCAACTCCTCTCATGCTTACCCTGTAGACAGTTGATAGATCCTTTCCAATGTTATAGCATGATGCCTGCAGGCTAGCCCCTCCACATTCCTGAAATCTGAGGCTTTTTTTGAACTAGCTGTCTCGCCACATAGAATTGGTTGTTAAACCAGCTGCTACAATATGAAGATGTATGGATTTTGAAACTCTTGTCTACAGACACTTAAAATACCAAAATGTACAGCAGGACTTGCACAGAATAAGAAGTAAGATGAGCCCAAATAGTGGAAGAAAAAATTTGAGTCTATATTTGTTTTTATAATGTGAGTAATAAAAATTCCTTTACACAGAGGGATAGATTCTCTCTGGGCATTTTTCTTCTGTCTCTTTTTCCTTCTTAAGTTCTTATATTTGTGGCTTCTCTTTGCTCTTCAACACATATAGTTTTTCTTCTACTCAGAGCTATGCCTTCTCATTTATATTTCACTTTACTCTTTCCTGGTTTTTAAATATTTTTAATATGCCCAAGGAAAAAATAACAAAATAAGTCAGCCTCCATGCTTTCTCTTTAGATGTAATAAAACATGGGTACAAAAACTGAAGGCAAGAATTGCTTGGCTTCATGATTGTTTCTTCTGTCTTTCAGCACCATTGACTCCTCCTGATGTTCTTTCTTACTTCCTCTTTCCAAGGAGTCACTTCCTGATTTCCAATAAATCATCCAGGCCAAGATTTAGAAGCATGTTACCATGTTCTGATACACTACACTAGTTTAATTTTCATATCCTTCCAGCCCAAATTGGTTTCTCATTGACAAGGCTCAGCTGCTCTCTCTCTCTCTGCCTGCTGAATCACCAGATGGAAAGTCTCAGTCAAACTAGCATTATCATTTATTTCCACTGTGGAAATATTAAGCAGGTTGGAATTTGGGTATCTCTTTTGATTCTTAAAACAATAACACTGCTATTAGAATAACAAAAATTTGACTGTTTTTTCCCCTGAGAATGAATTTGGATTTCAAGGGGAGAGATAATTTAAAATCCAATCATCAGATCTCCAGTGAACCTCAGTGTTTCTCTGCAGTTTCACTTCTGTTTCTATGAAGGAATGATAAAAGACAACTTGGAGAAAAAAAGAATGTATTCAATTTACAATTCTAGGTTATAGTCTATCATGGAGGGGAAGCCAAGACATCGGGGATCTGAAGCAGCTGGCCACATCACATGCACAGTTAAGACTAGAGAGAAAGGAATACATGCAAGCTGCCTGCTTATTTGTGTTCAGCTCAGTTTCTCCACTCACATACAGTTTAAGACCCCTTTACTTGGGTCTTCTACCATCAATTAACTTAATTAAGACAATATCCCAACAGACACGCATCCAAGCCAACCCAACATCAACAATCTCTCACTGAGACTTTCATATAAGGTGATTCTATGTTGTGCCAAGTTAACAAAGATAATCATCCTAAGGGTTTACCTTCCTTACACTTACCACTCTTATTTTTTTCCAGTGTTAAATATTTTTCTCTTATTGGTAAAATAAAACAAATAATACATAGCACATATGCTAGTGGCTTGAAATAAGTTAGTCACCATAATAAAGCCAATGTAAGTTTGAAATAAAAGATTATAGTAAGATGACATGCAACTGTTGTATTGAGGGAATACCCATCTCATTGTCAAAAATCCTTATCCTACATCGAATCAGGGCAGTAAGATGTGAGCTCCATCTTGCTTTATTAAAATTTTGTATTCTTGAAATGTTTAGAAAACCATCATTCAGACTGTTACTGAACATTTAAATATTAATTTATGGAATGTGTGTAACTTTGTTTTATAAAACTATACTTAAAACATTTTACCCCATTCTTTCTGGACATTATGAATTGTTGAATAAGATAATATTCACTATTTATTTAAATAATAAAAGCATAGTCCCTTCAATGATTTTCTGATGCAAACATACAAACAATATTCTGGCTGTATTGTATGGGCCACCAGAGCCAGGATTGCCTATTGAGGGCAGGTAAGGAAATGGTTGTTGACTTTCATTAGCATTCTAGTTCTGCTTCAGCCAGATTTACTAAGTGTGACCTATAGCATCCAACTCCATCACTTAGTAGTCATTGAGATTGTCAACTGTGTTGACAGAGATCCTCCTGCCTCTGCCTCCCTAGTGCTGGATTAAAGGCGTGCACCACCAACACCCGGCTTTGTTTCTATTTAACCTGCATTAAAACACCAGCCACTATGTTAGGCATTGAAGTTCACCTAAAAATGCTTCTTGGCTTATCCTTCAGAGTCTGGGGAGAAAACTATGGGAACACAGGCATTTACTCCAGATAGAATGGTATTGTGTCAATAAATTTATATTCATGGTACTTAGTGGTCTTTTTTTTGTTTGTTTTTTTTCTTTTTTTTTTTACATACAAAGAATCCCCCCCCCCCCCTTAGTAACTGTCAGATACCAATAGCTCCTCAGTACAGGGTAGGGCCAGGAGAGCATCTTTTTTATCTACACTGGGATTTTGGCTAGTTTGATCTTATGCTTGACTTGTACAGGTAACTAAAGCTGCTGTGAATCTTAGGTGTGATAGCTATGTCAAAGCCAGAAGATAGCATTTCACAGCACTCCTCCTCATCCTCAAGCTCTCTCTGCTTCCTCGTCCATGATGTTCCTTTGGCCTTGGTGGGATGGGATATGGGTTAATATTGATGTCCTATTACAGGGCTGAACATCCAGTCTCATATTCTCAACCCTTTTACCAGTTATGTATTTCTCTTCTGACTGCTGCCCACTGCAAACAAGTTTCTCTGATCAAAATTGAGAATAATCCAGGTCCATGGATATAAAATGAATATATACTTAATATATACATAAATACATGGAAGGAACTCTGACGGCATGACCATTTAGCAAAATAACAATATGAAGTTCTACTCCAGGGCCTAGAACCCCGAAACCATGGACTGTAGTTCCATGAATTTGCTTCTGTAGTATGCCTTGTCTCCAAGTAGAAAATGGTTACTACCACATACCAGTTGTGCCAATAAGTTGCCTGAAAGGTCAGTATTGTGGCATGCAGTGTCCAGTGTTGGGTGAGAGCATTGATGTGCTTTCTTCCAAAGCAGCATATAAAACATCTTCCAGGATTAGGAAATCTAGCCATCAGGGAAGCAGTTTCCTGGTAGGTTTGAGATTGGTTTCTCTATGTCCTAAAGCTAATATATGTGGCATCTGAAAACATATTATATTGGTCTTTGTCCTTCTAGATTCAAACATAGGTCTCTGAACATTACAATG